TTTGACAACAGCGACTGACAGTTAATTGTCAACTCAATGTTAATATCGGTGGACGAAAAGTACTTGCCTTCAGAAATAGTCGATTTTTCAATGGTGAGTTAGTACGTACCCAGACAACACAACTTAATCCATTGGACAACCAATAGATGTCCAGCTATTTACATCCTGGACATTCATTGGATTTATTTCATCTCCTAGGGCCTACGAGAGGAAATTCCTATAATGTTCGAAGAACATCATGCGTACCTAGGGAGGATAGCATTATCCAGTATCGGTCCAATGGTCATTCATTGGATAATACATTTTCAACGGATTGGACTCCCATTGTAAGTCGAATAGATATCTATTAACACATCCAATTTCCGTTGGATAAAAAAAAATTTGTCCAGAACCTGAACAATAAGGTGCCCGTCGATGGGATTCAAGCCAAAGCTATTTATTAAGACACTTCTTTTACAAATAAGCCAAAGGGGTGTTTTGTTCATGTTCAGAGTGCTGACAAATGAGCTATGTTTCTTGAGCGAAACTCCTTACAACAAATGTTCACCGAGATGACCCAAGTGGGTAGGGTTGAACACAAGCATTGTCGTGATGGTAATCTGCATGATGTTTGAGAAAATGGAAAAAAAAATTTAACTCGTCGTGGTACACACTCGCGACCGTCTGAGTAGGTGCAGAGGCCCTTTCCGGAATCGGCCGCTAGGGAACCGGACGACGCCTCCATAAATATATCAGACGGTTGCATACAGACCTCAGGCGAGACTTGCTACGTCGAAGCTTGTGCTACTATCGTGAATTTTCAGAACTCGAGTGATCACGAGCTGAAATCTTGAATCATGACACCGTTCGTGGAGACCTACGACCCTAGAGTATCTATTACCATTGGTAATTATACGAAGCACTTCATTTTGCAGCACCTGTCACCTAACCAGTTGATTGGTTGGCGAGGTGCACGAAACACGGGACAGCCCTCTTGTGAATCACATTCACTAACCACGGGATATTAAAAAATATTGTAGTAAGTATTTCTCATTCACGTCATTTTTTATCGAAAAAGAACGCGATATGAAAAAGGTGAATGCCGCAATGAAGCCTCCACACGGCCCTTATCAAAAGTTTCACAGATTGATATACCACAATGATATACCACAATTCTACTATTTCAAATGAAAACCTGCGTTTTTCATATTTTCGGATTATGAGCGTGGGCCTATTCAATAGGTAAACTGTCAAACCACAGTATATAACCTCTTACGAGAAAAAATCGAAGCCGTATAACATTTATTTTGCAAGCGCATCGATCTTTGCACGGTCTTAACATTAAAATAGGATGAAAATCATGAATAGGACCATAAGAACTTCAAGTACCTACCTACGAAAATTACAAATTATAAGACGTAAATCGTACCGTGAATAGTACTGAGTGAGGTTATACGTGATGAACATTAGTGAACTTCTTCAATTCAGGACGATATTCTTCAAAGAAAATCTTCGCTGGATTAATAATGGACTTCCATCGGATGCAGGAATTCGGAGGTCCATTTTACAGGGTAACTTCGTATATTTTGACCACTACTCACAGCTTCAACTATACGAGGTAAAAAAAAACTTCAAATGTGTAAGTTGCAGGGTTCTATGTTATGGCCCTCCTTAAATAAACAAATGCGAATCGCAATTATTGATAAAAAAAATAGTCCAAATCAGTGTTTTCGAATAGAACACCCTGTATATCGTCAATGTGAATTGCTATTGTCTCCTCAGGCCATTTTTTGATTATAGAGCATCAAATCAAACCCAGGTAACACACTGCCGTCAATTTGACGTCACTTCAGACCATATGCATCGTCAAATTGACCTAAGACGTTAATATGACGTTATAAATTACGGTCGACTATCATATAGACCAATGACGTAATTTTCATGACATCTTATTGACGGTTATGAGATACATCTATTGGACGTCATTCAATTGACGTACATGAGACGTCATAGAAGTGACGATATATTGACCAAATATATGACTTTATATCACAGATTTTGAAGTGAGCTTTCAAAATGAAAATTCCCTTTCAGAAGCAAATATAAGGTGATGAATTTGCACTCAATGGATAGGAAAACATGTAGATATATTGTATTGAACATACATTTTGACATTTTGACTTGAGAACATATTCGATATGATGAACATAGTGATTATATAAGTATTGAACATTTTGAGACAATACATTATCAATTACCTAATAGGTACAACATGTATTTTCGAATAATTTGATGAATATGGATAAGTATACAAAAGGTTCATGAGATTTGCAAAAACTTCCTATCAGAAATGATATTGTCTATACAAGTCTATTGAATTTGTTCTGATCTTTGATAGGTCAGAAGACTTAATTTCTTCGTAGCCTCACCTAAGCAACCAACCTATGGTAACGACCCGACAATTCGTTGAACTAAATCAATATGTAACTCACTATAATGATTAGTATTTCCATAAGAGCTACCATTACAAACATAATCATTATACCAAATCACACACTTATTGGCACTACAGAATTTCTTGAAATTTTCACTAAATTCTAATATATTCAAACTATCCCAGTGAGACATCCGAGATTTCCGAGTTGAAGGGAAGACAACATACAACCACAAACAACAACATGGCGTTGCGGTTAACTTTTGGTTTCAATCGTTTCTCGCGTTTCGTGATCGGTCGGTGGGGTCGGCGCATGCGTAGTTCGTGTTCGTACTGAGTCGCGTTCACACCGTTGCCAGTATTTCGTCAGAGTTAGTCGCCAAAAGAACAGGAAGATGACGTTCAAAATATATTGTTATTCGTTTTTTAATCACAAAAATGCCTGTGGATTGTTTGAAAACGAATTCATATTATGATCTGAATAAATATCAGGAATAGTTGGGTCAAAGAAATATTTTCACGATAACAGAATAAAAATCAATCTCACGTGAAAAAAACATCAATGAGCACAAAGATGTGATACGGATCAGTCCTTCGGAGGGGACGTTAAGCCGGCGGTCCCCAGGCCATGGATGCTCGACTAGTTAAAGTTGGAACACCATTCGGCAAAATTTCGGGTCGGGGGTAGTGTGCTCACTGGCATCGGTGATTGGTCTCAGTATCAGAAAAAGGCCAACGTTAAAGAAACAAGGAAGAAGAAGTAGAACATCTAAGTAGTAAAATACAACAGAATGAAAGTGAATATAGTATTATCAGCGTCAAATCGTTCACAATGATAACACTGGTCATAACCGAGACACCATGACACCATGACCACCATGGCAGATAGAAAATAGAAGCCATTACATTTTTTCAGACATGCATATTAGTATCGTCACCGAACATAATTATGGGTCGGGGGTAGTGTGCTCACTGGCATCGGTGATTGGTCTCAGTATCAGAAAAAGGCCAACGTTAAAGAAACAAGGAAGAAGAAGTAGAACATCTAAGTAGTAAAATACAACAGAATGAAAGTGAATATAGTATTATCAGCGTCAAATCGTTCACAATGATAACACTGGTCATAACCGAGACACCATGACACCATGACCACCATGGCAGATAGAAAATAGAAGCCATTACATTTTTTCAGACATGCATATTAGTATCGTCACCGAACATAATTATGGGTCGGGGGTAGTGTGCTCACTGGCATCGGTGATTGGTCTCAGTATCAGAAAAAGGCCAACGTTAAAGAAACAAGGAAGAAGAAGTAGAACATCTAAGTAGTAAAATACAACAGAATGAAAGTGAATATAGTATTATCAGCGTCAAATCGTTCACAATGATAACACTGGTCATAACCGAGACACCATGACACCATGACCACCATGGCAGATAGAAAATAGAAGCCATTACATTTTTTCAGACATGCATATTAGTATCGTCACCGAACATAATTCGGTGGTATCGCTATATTGATGCCGCGCTATTCAAATCAAATACTATTTTATACCGTGTGACACAGGAGACATGAAACAGCCTGTAGTTTTTTTATTTGGAGAGATAAAGATTTGGAATTTACAATGATTATATAATCGATGATGGTGCTTTCTTTGAACCCAATGACAATTTTGTTCAGTCACCTGTTTGATTGGACGTAAACCCAATTTTTTTTTCAAATGGCACCCTGTATATTCCTGTTGTTTATCTTATGCGCCTTGAAATTCTCTATTCAACTATGTATCACAATTTGATATTCATTTATTAATTGGCTGTCAAATTGCATTTTATTGAAATATATGGAAGTTGGCTGTGGCCCGAATTCAATGACATTTCGATGTTTGATAGGCTTAGAAATCCGAAGATCATCACTTAGACGATATTATCAGAAAATTTTCCATACCCTAATCGGTCCCAGAAGATTGCCATCATCCGAAAATAACTCACGATAGTAGGACGATACATCAATTATTAAAACAATTTCAGTTTCATGTATCCAAATGGATGGATAATATATTCAGTTTCATGTATCCAAATGGATGGATAATATGGCTACATGGTCTTCACAAGTAGCCAAATGAAAAAAGTTCATATCATAGTTTTCTCAAACTTAATGTATTTTAATAAAATGCAATTTAACAGCCAGTTAATGAACGAATATCAAATTGTGATACATAGTTGAAAAGAGAATTTCAAGGCAAATAAGATAGGATACAGAAATATACCTGAAAAAAAAAGTTGGGTCTACTTCCGATCAAACAGGTGGTTGAAGACAATTTTCATTAGGTTCAAGGAAAGCGCCATCATCGATAATATTTCTAACCCTTATATCTTCGGATAAAAAAATGACAGGCTGTTTCATGTCTCTTGTGTCACCCGGTATAGTTAGAATAAATTTGAAGGTTTGATGAGATATTTTCTTCTTGGTGAACAATAATGATGTTAATAGTATGTCAACTGGACGTCACTATTTAGACGTCGTTTTTCGGGAATGATAACCACGTCATTATGATGGTTATTTCAATCACGTTAAAATGACGTAATAGGAATCGACGTCATATGAAATTCCCATATTGGTCCCACGATGTCTCTGACCAATATTGACCTGAAATCGACGTCATAAGTTCCTAAAGAGAAACTGTGCTACCTGGGAAGTTGCCACTAACATTGAGCTGACTGATGTGGACACAATAGAAATCACATGGAATCAAAACAGGCATTTTTTGACATCTCTGTCAGATTTTCGATAAACATGGGTTATTCCGAAGAGAAGGAATACGAGATATATTATGGAAATATATTGCGAAAATTTCAGTAGTGCAGCGAATTTAGTCGAAAACGGCTCAATGGAATATCAAAAAATGATATATATTTGTGAACAGAAGAAAGAGATAGGGTGTCCCATTTGAAAAAAACCAAAACAATGTAGCGATTCGCATTTTTTTATTTGAGGTGTGCCAAAAGATATAGTACAAAAAGAACTCTACAGCTGTCATATTCGGAGTTTTTTCAACCTCGTATAGTTGAAGCTGTAGGTAGGGGTCGAAATACAAGGAGACAGAGCCTGTACATTTACAAAATGGATATCTAATGGATATGTGTTGTCTGGGTTGAATTCAATTTTTTCTAGAGGTCGACTTATATCCGATGATATCGTGATTTAGGTACAGTGACATTGAACACCCGATCAGCCCTGCACAAGAAAATGCACGTGATTTCCAGGCACAAGGATGATTTCTAGTCGCACCTGACTGTTGCACGACACGGCGTCCAACCCAGAAAGCGGCTTGGCGACGGCGATCCTCACCACGCCCCTCTGCACCCCCTTCAGAACCTGAACAGCCTGGGCCAGCGGGAGGTGTCCCACGTCCACGTCGTTCACTGTCAGCAGCCTGTCGCCTGGAATCAGCCGACCGTCGTTCTGAGCCACTCCGCCGGGCACCAGCGATCTGATCACTATCACCGTTTGCTGGGGGTCCAGCGGATCCTGGAATACGAATTTGAGGTGAGAATGATAGATAGATAGATAGATAGATAGATTTTATTAATCCTTTGTGCTACAACATGTATAGATAGGACAAGTCACACATAATGGTAAAGGGTACAAAACAACAATTTAAAAAATATACTAATGATTTGATTTAAAATATAGAATTATTCAAATAGTACCTACAGCGACCTCAAAGTCATCTACAGAATAAAAACAATTATCAGCCAGGAACATTTTAAATTTTTCTTGAAATTTTGAGGATTCATTTCTTTAATATTATTTGGTGAGAGATTGTAGAGACGAACTCCTGCAAACATGGGGGAACTTTCATATTTTGAATGATGGTGCTTATTAGTTGTGATCATATTTCTATTCCTGGTATTATGACTGTGAATTTCCATTCTTGTTCTTAATTCGCCTTTCTTTTCTTGTATAACTGTCAATAGTTGCAGAATGTATATACTTGCTACGGTTAATATTTTATTTTGGCGGAAAATGTCTCTACAGGAAGTTCGATAATCTAGATTGAAAATTAACCTCAACAAAGCTTTTTGTTTTATGAAAATTCGATTTGTCCTTGTAGACAGTCCCCAAATGGTAATGTTGTATTTGATAATAGAGTGGAATTTAGCATAATACACTGATATCAGTGATTTCGTATCCAACTTACATTCAGAGATTCAATCAAGTAATATAATTGCATAAGCTTTTTACATGTCAGATCAATATGATCATGCCATGTAAACAGTGGATCGATCATCGTTCCCAAGAATATTGTTGAATCAGATAGCCTCAGGGATTCATTTTGAAAATTGAATTCGAAATCATATAGGGTTCTAGATGAATATGAAAATTCCATGCAGACTGTTTTTTTCATGTTAACAATCAGTCTGTTCTTATAACACCAGTTACTAAATTCAACTAATGTAACTAGTTGATACATATCTTCGGCACTTTTACCCGATAATATGATCGAGGTATCGTCCGCATATAAGAATATTTTTCCATTGCTTATTCCATTAGGGAGGTCATTAATATACAGCAAGAATAACAAAGGCCCAAGTACACTACCTTGTGGGGTCCCTGTCGTTGTAACATACTTTTCTGACATTGTGTTATTTTGCTTTACACGAAAACATCTATTGGATAAGAATGACCGAAGTAGTTGATTAATATTTCCTCGAATTCCTAACTTGAATAGCTTTTCTGATATAAAATCTATATTTATGGTGTCGAAGGCTCTGCTCGAATCGAAGAAGATTCCAATAACTATTTTTCCTTCATCAACCAAGTTGTGAATATGCTGTGTGAATTCAAGCGTTGCAGTTTCTGTCGAATGCTCTCGTCTGAATCCGTGCTGGCATTCTGCTAACAGGTTGAATTTTTCCAAGTAACTATTGATTCTAGAAGTGGATGTGCAGTGGATTCAATTTATGCTGCTTTGCTGTAGAGTCCCTGATTCAAAAATTTTCGTATCTCCTATAGTTTTCGGGATGCTACCCAGCGAGCACAAAAACATCTCAGAGATGTTAAAAGTACGAGATGTCGAGATATTGAACCTCCACTGCGATGTTCTATTCACACTTTGTTGTAACCCTCACTATATTGATGATGTTCAGATTAGACAACCCATTGTGACATACTGTCAGAGATGAATAAAGTCATGTCCTTAAAGACTTCAATGTGTTAGTTCTATCCAGAAAGTATATTACAATCTCAGTTCACAGAATCATTTCAGTTGGCGACGAGTGAAAAACATATAGCTTATAGAATAAGGTAAAGGCATTTTCAATAATTTTTCAAATGGACGCGGAACAGTTCAGACAATTCATGACTGTGATGCATGACCAGCAGCAATCGCTCATCAACGAGCTTGTGGCCCAGTTACGTCCCGATAACAGCAGCCTGTGGCTGGTTCTCCTGTTAATTTTTCAAGTATCGCACCTTTCGAGAATTTTGATGCCCGTCGAGAGAAATTTTCCTGTTATCTTGAACGATTTGAAAACTACTATACAATGAAAGGTGTCAGTGATAAATCAAAAATTGCTCAGCTACTGTGTGTTTCAATTGGGTCAACGCATTATAACAGTTTAGCAGCATTCCTTGGTCCCGAGAAACCAGTAAAATTTTTATCTTATGAAGATCTGGTGAAGGTTTTCAAACAAATGCTCATTCCAAAGAAAAGTGTGGTTGTTTCCCAACATTATTTCCTGAATGTTTTTCAAAAAGAAAGACAGACGATTGCCGAATACGTTGCAGCTCTTCAACGTGATCTTGTTGAATGAGAATTTTCAGTCAAATGCGAATGTACTAAGTCAGTATCCATTGCAGATGTTTTCCTGAGAGCTCAGTTTATTCGAGGTTTGCGTGACGACTGGTTGAGAGAACAGGTTTTGCAATCAAATGTAACATCATTCGAAGAAATTTTGACAAAAGCAACCGCTCTTGAAGCCTCGAAAATAGAGAGTAAGGAGCTGACTCAGCGTTCCAGTTCCAGCCATACGAATTTCAACATGTGTGACGTTAATAAAATCACAAATTCCGCTCGACATAATTCCAGAAATCGTTCCAGTTGTCGTTCAAACTACCGATCGAATAGTCCAAGTATCCAAAATTCAAATTACCGACGACGTCAACCAGATTACAAGGCACTTGGAATCGAAAATCTTTGTATTCGATGTGGGAGAAACAATCATAAAATCAACGATTGTCGTGTCGATAGAAACAGAATATCATGTGACTCCTGCAAGAAAAATGGTCACGTTGCCAAGGTTTGTATCACGACCTTGATGAATGGTAATCGCAGAAGATCACGTGTTTCCAGTTCCACTACAGTACATGCTGTTTCTGAAGATCAGCCAGATTATGATTTTACGTACGGTGATAACAAAATTGAAACAGTATTACAGCATTGTGAAATCGTTGACTTATTCGAAATGACTCCTGACTCTGACAAATATTTCATTTCTGTCTCACTGAATGGCAAATCACAGCGATTTGAAGTTGATTCTGGTGCAAAGTTTTCCTTATTGAATGAGGACGATTTCAATAATTTAAATCTGAATGTACCTATCAGAAATTCAAATATTGCATTCAGGTCTTATTCAGGTAATCTCATTCAACCCAGAGGAAAAATATCAGTGAATGTTGTATACAGTGGAAAAGAAATTGAAGGTGAACTACACATCGTTCCAGCCGGACATGATGCTCTTCTTGGCCGACAATGGATTCGAGGGCTAGGTATTGAGCTTCAGCAGATTGACACTGAAATTGGTAACTCAGCTTTATTGCACCAACTACAATCTGTCAATTCAATCGAAGATGTATTCAGTTATTTCGCATCCATATTTGAAGCTAAAGTTGGATGTGTTCTAGGACTGAAAGTTACACTTCAACTCAGAGAAGGAGCCAAACCTGTCTTCACAAGAGAACGAAATGTCCCATATGCACTTCGAGAGCTTGTGGACAAGGAATTGGATTCCTTAGAAGCAGATGGTATCATATCATTAGTTCCTATGAGTGACTGGGGATCACCCCTAGTAGTCATTCCAAAAGCCGATGGAGGTGTTCGATTATGCGTCGATTACAAATGTGGTGTGAATGAAAGATTAGTCCAGACGATGTGCTAAACAGCCTCCGTAATTCAAAGTATTTTCGTAAACTTGATCTATTCAAAGCTTATTTACATCTGAAAGTTGATGATGAAAGCAGCGTCATTCAGGCAATTTCAACTCACCGTGGCACTTATCGCATGAATCGTCTCAGTTTTGGAATCAAAACGGCTCCATCCGATTTCAATCGTATACTCTCAGGGATTCTCAAGGGTCTTCCAAAAACAGAATCGTATTTTGACTATATAATTGTACATGGATTGACAATTGAAGAATGCACAGAAAATCTTAAAGCCTGCCTGCAAAAACTCATGGACTTCGATCTTCATGTCAACAAAAATAAATGCTCATTTTTCAAGAAGAAAATTGAATATCTAGGACACATCGTAGAATTCAATAAGATTTCCAAGTCTCCAGTGAAGGTCCGCGCAATTCAAGACATGCCACGTCCAACCAATGCCGACGAAGTTAGAAGATTTCTAGGTCTTGTCACATATTACTCCCGATTTGTTCCTGATTTTTCAACACTTTCATACCCACTTCGATGTTTACTAATGAAGAGAAAACAATGGTTATGGACAGCAGAATGCGAGTCAGCATTCCTGAAACTGAAGACTGAACTTTGCAGCGATCGTGTTCTATTGCCGTTCGATCCCAGCCTTCCTCTCGTTTTGACCACAGATGCCAGTCCCACTGGAATAGCCGCTGTACTAAGTCATATTATCACCGATAAAGGAGAAAGGCCGATCGCGTATGCTTCGCGTTCGCTCACTGCCTCCGAAAGAAATTACAGTCAACTCGATAGAGAGGCACTTGCGATCATCTTCGGTGTTAATCACTTCTACAATTACTTATTTGGCAAACATTTCCTACTCATTACTGACAATGAGCCACTTTCCAGAATTTTCCATCACCATAAAGCACTGCCACAGATGACTTCTTCCCGCCTGCTTCGCTATGCATCATTTCTCTCAGGTTTCAATTACTCTGTTCAGTTCAAGAGAGGGAAGGAAAATCAAAATGTTGATTGTTTGTCTCGGGCTCCGATGCAGTATTCCAGTATTTCAACTGATTCTCTGATTGGTGATGAGGTAAACCAGTTATGTGATCAAGTAATTTTCCAGATTTCGAACGAAAAAATCACATCTACGTCAATCAAACAGGAAACTGAGAAGGACCCAGATCTCAACAAAATTGTGCAAACCCTGAAAAATCATACAGAGAATTCCGAATATACATTGACAGACGGCATTCTTTTTCGAAATGAAAGGGTTGTAATTCCTGGCCAGTTAAGATCTAGTATACTTGAAGAACTTCATGAAACACATCTGGGTATCACAAAGATGAAGCAGCTTGCCCGCCGCTATGTATATTGGCCAAGCATTG